GAAGATGACTGGTCCTAAAACTATTTTTACTACTCTAAAATAGTTCTCTTCCAAATGTCAGCGCTTAATCACATACTATATGTTTTGTGCAAAATATAAACCCATTTCTCTTCTGTGTGTGTGTGTGTGTGTGTACAAACTGGACATAAAAATAGCCCACGATACTGTCTGGGATATCGTGGAATTACTTTAACTTGTCCAATGCATTCCTCAAATTCTTTAACTTGTCCAATGCATTTCTCCCTTCTCCAACTCAGGCAGAATATGGAAAACTCTGTGTCTCATAGCTCATACTTAGAATTGCCAGCTGATCTGAAGGAAACCCAATTCCAGCTGGGTCCTCTGTTCTTAATATTGCAAGAGGATTATCTAGCTAGTTTCTGCAAACCAGTTGTTCAATTTCTTCTAGCATTTGAGGGCATTTGGAGATCAGCAATCCAGTATTCAGAGGGCAATGATCCTAGCATTTGAGGCACAGCAGTCTAGGATTCCATAGCCCATAAGCAAGAGCTGGCTGCATACAGATGTGGTGCAAAGAATGGGGTGCTTCTCCACTGGACTTTTGACTGGATGTGGTGGGCAACATGCTTTGAAGGGCAAAAGAGGAGAGCTTTGCTAAAAGTTCCTAGTCATGCCAGCCCAGAAGCATGGGGATGAAAGAGCTGTGTAGGAGGAGGGGCAACGCACATCCACTGTGTGAAGTTGTCTCTGAGCACATTGTCCTGCCAGCCTGACCATCCACTTGGATTGGCCCACTTCTTATTTACTAAGGAATTGCTTGTTCTCTACTTTAGATAACACTTTTGAACAGCAGCTGGTAGGTTAAACTTTAGGTGGCAATGAAGAGATGCTAGTTAAGTGCCCCTGAGTTGGGTTTAACGCAAAGGTTGACCATCCCAACATGCCTTTAGTAATATCTCGCAGGTCTTCCAAAAGCAGTCAAGTTCTTTCCATTCTGCTTCCTTACCTGTGGTCTTCCCTTCCTCCTATTTCTCAGATGGATTTGTTGCTAATATCCACAGATCATGTTCATGTAGTTCAGCTTACAGTTTTATTCTTTGACGACTTCATCACTTCGATAAGCTATCTGTGGACAATGGTTTTCCATTTTTGAAGATTTCTTAATTTGATTCAGAGGAGGAGTTCAGCTGGATAGGATTGGACTTTGTTCCTTTTAGAAGCACTATTGGGATGACAGGAATCACAACACTGAAAAACTGAAGTGAATGACATATATGTAAATCAGCTTGCTTTTAATGCAATTTAGAGGAATGACCAATTTGTTTTTCAAAAGGCTTTGACTAAAATATGGAATCAATTAACTGGAATGCATTAAAGTCCCTCAATCCATTAAAGCAGCTTGATAGGCAATTCAGATAACCAACCATGATTCTTTTTTTTTTTTTAATAAATAAGCTAAGAACACTCATTCATGTCTTACAAAATTCTCATTTTTGTGTCTTGAAATCAACAGATTGGGGTTAACCAAGAAAAAAAACATATATATCACTATTTGTCAATAATTGTTATCCTGTAATGGGAAATTGTGGTTAGATTAACCCAGTTACAGTATCAAGTCAGCGTGCAACATCTTGAAGAAATTCATTTTTTTTCCCCTTTCCAACCCAACAGAAAGTTGGAGATATGTAAAGAGCATGGCATGTTCTCCATCTGCCTGTCAGCTTCATAATTTTCTGAAAACTTAATAGAACAAGACTGCATTTGGTGCTGGAAGAAGAAATACCAAGTTTGAAATTTTATGAATTCAGCCCGGTCATCCTCTCTCGACCCAACCTTCCCCACTGAGTTTTTGTTCTGGAAAAAACTGGAGGAGGAATTATTGTGCATACCACCTTGACCTCCTGGAGGAGAGGCAAGAAATAACCTAATATATAAATAAAAAAATTCAGGCAAACGCCATGTGGTTTTCATTTAATTATAAATGCAAATATTTTAACAGAGAAAAGTGCATTCAGAAAAAAATAATGCCAGTATTCCAATGGCTTCTGTCAAGAAATGCAAAACAAGATCATGATGAGAAACATTATACATATCCACAAGAGTATTTAACTACTGATCTCTGTATGTAAATTACTATATTTAGTGTTCATTGGGCCATAAATGTGCAAGGGTAAACCAGCCAGTCCTTTGTGGCTTCTGACAGAATGCAGAACTGTTTCTATGAAAAATACTATCTATAAAGCAAAGTGTGCATTTGACTCGTGTGAATTATATCTGACCACTGCTGCAGGTTGTCACTCAAAGTAAATGACGTCAAATGAGAAATGAGCGTACCCTGGTGCCACTTTCTGGGAGGCTTAACAGGAATCAAAATTAGCTTTACTGTACTAATGGGCTTATGAAACATATAATAACATTTCTTCATAGATCTCATGTCGACATGCCTGTTTTAAATGGCTCACTTGCAGAAATACACAGAAGTGAGAAGTGTTGTTAGTAAGCAGCTCTTCTTTATAATGGTGTCGCTAAAAACTGTTAACATCGAGGGTTCAGATTTCTATAATTAAAATAGGAACCTGCTTTTCAAAATTCTGCAGACATCAATGCAGCCAGTGATAGTCACAGTAATGAATTTACACTAGATAATGCAATCAACTAATTTAGCTGGGACTTGTTAGAAGACACATGTTCACAGGAGTGCATTGTGTGGAGTTAATTAAGGTCAATATTGGCTCACGGGTAAATAGAAGAGACAGCAATTAAGGTGGGAGGCT